CATAGGGTTGCACAATTTGGTGGGTAGACGGAGGGGGAGAAGGAAACAGGAAAGATCCAGCAGAGACCTGAAAAGACAGGGTAATGATGGGCAAGGTCGAATGGTGATAAGTTTTATCGAACATAATGCATGAGAATGATTGCATGAAACACAATATGAATGAAAAATAGTATAAAACACATGTATACAAACTTTGTAAGCAAATCAATATAATTTTTTAAAAACAGTTAAAAATTCTTTTTTCTTTTGTTAAAATACATAGAAGAGTGCATTTGCCAATGCAACATTTTTTCTTTTTCTTTTAAAAATGTTTATTTCATATTGTTTTGCTTACAAAGTTCATATATATTGGGGGCGACAGCTGGGCGGTGAAACTGCAGCCCCCCAACCTGGCAGCCGTTGGTTCTGTCGCCGGCCAGGGTGTGAGTGCACCAGGGTTGGACCACAGCCTTTAGCAGATGCTTGGGAAGCGCTTGCTAGAAGCTGCTCCCGGGCCGGCCATGCCACTCAGGCCTTGGTGTGATGCAGCAGAGCTTTATAAAATGAATCTCCATTAGACTATGCCCAATTAAAAACAAGTTTAAAAATTTGTTTTTTCTAGAATAGTTTAAAATAAATATATTTTAGGGCATATAAACATTGTTTTTCTATGGTTAAAGTATATAGAACAATGCATTTACCAATGTAACATTTTTTCTTTTTCTTTTATATTGGTTTGCTTACAAAGTTTGTATACATTGTGTTTCACACTGTTCTTCATTCACATTGTGTTCCATGCAATCAGTCACATGCATTATGTTTGATAAAATCAATCACCATCGGACCTTGCCCATCATAACCCTGTCTTTTCAGGTCCCCGCCGGATCTTCCCCATTTCCTTTACCCCTTTCCTCCAACCACCAGCTTGTACAACGCTGTGATTTCATCCCTACCCATCCTAACCGCTCTTCTCTCACCTTTTCTCACCTTGGGTTTCCATACACATTTTACTAGTTTTCTTTCTATTTTTAAATAACAGTCTTATGCAGTATTTGTCCTTATGAGACTGAGTTAGTTCACTCAGCATAATGCTCACTAGTCTCTCCCAAGTTATGCAGTATTTTTCAAAATGACTGCTCCTGAGTGCTGCATAGTATTCCGTTGTGCGAATGTACCTTGATTTCTCAATTCATTCGATTGTGGTTCGGCAATTGGGCTGCTTCCATCTTCTTGTGATGGTGAATAATGCTGCTATGAGCATTGGTATACAGATCTCCATTTGTGTCTCAGTTCTATCTAATATCTCATTGTGGTTTTGATTTGCATCTCTCCTATTGCCTGTGATTTCAAGGTTTTCTTCATGTGTCTGGCCAATGCAACTTTTTTTTTCCACATACAGTTCTGTGATGTTGTTTACACTTGTGTTATGCTGTGTCACCACTCTACACTTCTTTTTTTTAAAATTTTATTATTTTTGTGTGAGTGTACCGTCAAATCAGATCTGACTGGTACAAGAGGAGATTGTCCCTCCTTCCTCGGCAGAGCATCTGGTGGATTCGAACCGTGCGCCTCTGGGATTGTAGTTGCAGCTCCTTGCCACTAGGCCACCAGAGCTCCCCTCACTCTATACTTCTGTAGTATCCCTTGACTATTAAGAAATACTAAGATTTTAATAAAAATATATTATCATTTATTTCTTATGTCATAACATTATAGTCCAATAGTGACTGATAAGAGTGTTGTTTCTTGGACTTGATTTTGTGACTTCTTATTTTTTCTAAGTGCTTCTAGGGTGCTGGAGAAGAAGGTATACTTTCTATTTCTAGATTACATGTTTGTCTCTTTAATTGACATTATTAGTATTGTTATTATTTGAGTTTGAAATCTATGTTCTTTTGTTAATGTCATTTTTAAAAAAAAAATATTCATTTTCCGAAGTGGAAGGAAGTGTAAGAATTTTCTCACCAGGCATTTCATTGTCTTATGCACGTTAAACCAAAAAGCCCCACAGCCATCGAGTACACTGACTGCTGGTGACCCTCCACGGGGATTCTCAGGCTGTGACATCTTTACCGGAGAACCCTGCCCTTCTTCCTCCTATGGAGAGGCAGTGGATTGGAACCAGCAGTCTTGGGGTTAGCAACCAGTCATGCTATGTCATGCCCCACTGGGGCTTGTTGTCCCTTACTCTATTTTTCAGTTACGTGCTCAAATCTTCAAGTGTCTGTGATGGGAGAGGAAATATAGGAGAGGCTAAATTGCATTCAAATGCCTTGTATAGCTGTCTGTCTGTTAGTGTGTGTCTTTGTGGGGATAGAAATGTGTTGCAGCAAATACAGCTCCATTAGACGTGTTTGTGTAAAGGAGTTCCTTCATGTGTTGGTGACTGTGTGAATCTGATGTATACGTCCATATATGTTTGTTCATCCATAGCACCTTTTTTAGAAAAAAAAAAAAGAAGTAAAACATTGGGTTTGGGTTCTCTCTTGCTGGGTGCTATTTCTAAAGTGGTCAGCAGTCAGAAAGCTCTACCAACTGTACCCTAACTCATGTGACCCTCTTTCCTCTCTCCTGGCTGCAGAGGGTCCTGCTGGTAAGTCGACTGGACATGGCTCGCCTCAGATACAGTCTGTGCTACCCCTGTTCTGTGTGTTGGGCGTCTGGGGGCTGCATTTTGCCATTATGGAAGATGCTAGAACCAACTTCTACATTCAGAGGGAGACACTGAAAACTTCACTCTAAATTCTCCCAGTGTCTGTCCAAACTTCCTTTACCATTCCTGCTCATATGCTCATACCATACTTTTTTAAATATACTTTTTAAAATTTTAATTGTGACTAATGAAAGTTTACAGAAGTTAGATTTTTTCATTAATTCATTGTTGCAATTTGACACCCCTCTTTCTCCCTTCCCTCTCCCCCAGTTCACTTTTTGCACATTTACCTCCCCTGCACCCCAGTCCTCTTTGCAGTGTACCTCTTATTCTGGGGGGTTGTCGTATGTAACATCACATATTCCTTTTAAACAGTTGATACCATCTTTAAGGAGCTGGAACGCAAAGGCCTGGACCCTGATTGATTGAATGGGAGCCACCAGTATTTTCAGAGACTCAGACATTCAGTACATTTTATAGACTCAGGCCATGTTTTTCTAGAAGCTTCCTGGGAAATTTCCTAGCCAGTCCCCTTAGAAAGGGCAGGAGAGTGAATTCCAGAATGGATTCTCCCGACACCTTGTCCTCCTTGATGAGCTGATGATGAGTTGATGAGCTTTGATGGCACCAACAAGACTCAGACCACTTGCCTTAACTGGGGGAGATTAATCTTAGGGGCCTCTGAGTAGGACCACCAGTCTATGTTCAGGGAGCTTGCTGTCTTCCCAGCCACACATACCTAGACGCACACCTGGGGGAATGTTCTAGATGCACAAGCTGAGGGCCAGCAGATATACTTCAGAAGTTGGGGCGACCAGTGTGTACTTCAGCAGGCAGGCCCACTTTCTCTTGCAAAAATGAGCTCTTGGGGGGAGGAAAGGGCAGAGAGCATGTTGTCACTAGCCTCCACTGTTCTCCTCTAAACCTCCACATTTAGCATCAACTCAAAAATCTCACTGCCATTGAGCCAGAACCAACTCAGAGCCCCCTCCCTCTCCAAGGCTGTACAGCAATGGGAGGAGATGGCCCATCTTTCCACCTGGGAGCCACTAGCAGATCTGAACACCAGAGAGGTGTCCTCTGTTAGCAGCACAATTCCCAGGACTGTGCCTCCAGAGTGCCCCAGTTAGTGCTGTGTCTTATGAATGTTGTTGTTATGTGCTGTCGAGTCGCTTGCGACTCATAGTGACCCTGTGTCCAACAGCTCTAAACCCAGCTCTATTCAGTGCCAATCTCACTGTCTCCAACACACCTACCCCCACTACCCCAGTCACTGAATCAATCCACCTCATAGAGGATCTTCCCCTCCTGCACCGTCCCTCCACCCTCCCAAGCATGATGTCTCTCTCCAAGGACTGGTCCCTCCTTGCAACATGCCTAAAGTATGTCAGATTAAGCTTCAGAATCCTTGCCTCCAAGGAGCAGCCTAGTTTAACCCTCTCCAGCATTAACTTATTAATTCTCTTAGTAATCCATAGTGTATTCAATACTCTTCTCCAACTCCACAGTTCAAAGGCATCAATTTTCCTTCTATCATCCCTAGTCATTGTCTACCTCCCTGATACATAGTGATTGCAAAGACCATGGCCTGTATCAGACACACCTTAGTCTCCAGACTGACTTTGTTGCTCTTTAGTACTTTGGAGCAGTATCTAACAGGAGACTTTCCCATTGCAATACGTCTTTTAATGTCCTGGCTGCTGGTGCCAGGAGTGTTGATTATGGACCCAAGCAAACTTAAATCTCTTTACCATCTATCCCGATGCTGCCAACTGGCCCAGTGATGAGAATCTTTGTTTTCTTGATAATAAGCCCCAAATTTAATTAATATTTGTCGATTTTCAGAGACTGGTTTGATTTGACCTTGGGAGGAGGCACAATGGTATCCAATGTTTATTCCATTGCTGGAGTGGTTTGTAGTCAGAGCACCTCTTTTGGGCCTGGCTTTTTCTGGGTCCTACTGTGTTTTGCTCGAAAGTAGCACTTCATCGGCATCTCTCCAGAATTTGCAACCTCTGGCTGTAGCATCAGTGTGCTTCTGGATGTAAGGACACTGTGCTCTTTTTATCCTCATTTCGTAGAAAAGACAAAGGCAGCCTCAGGATCTCAAAGGATCACACACCAGGAGCGCAGACAGGCCCAGGGCTAGAATCTGTCTCTAATACCGCATACCGAGTTCACGCAGCCTCTACTGTTTGTGCGGCTTTTTCCCTCAGAAGAGCAGGCGATTCCTGCTCTCTGCCTCTGATACTCACGCAAAGTGTCTGAAGTCCAGGCCAGCCCCAGTGGCCTTGCTCGGGCTCTGGTTAACAAAGAACCTCGCTTGCAAGTTCTCTGTCACGAACCAGCTCTTATTTCTGTCCCTCAGGAGGAAGAGTTCATCGACTGGTGGAGCAAATTCTTTGCCTCAATAGGGGAGAGGGAGAAGTGTGGCTCCTACCTGGAGAAGGATTTTGACACTCTGAAGGTGAGGACTCATTCTAAAGCGGTTCCATTCTGTCTAACAGGCCCTGAGCACATGCTGTGGGTTATGGGAAATAACAACAAAAAGAGCCGGTGTGTAATTTTCTTCTCCTCATTTGGTGAGGACAATGAACTAACTGGGGTGAGAAAGGATATCCACAGATTTAGAGCAAAAAGTCAGCATAGATGGGAATACCTGAAAAGTATTTTTTATAGAATATGGTGAAATACTAAAGAATTTAAGGATGAAATGATGTATGAGATATGCTTTAAAATGCTTTCATTTCATCTCATTGCCATAGTCAGAACCCTCCACAGCTGACCCTCCAGTTTTCAGAGGCTGCAAATCTCATGGGAGGAGATTTTTATCGTTCCCCCATAGAGCAGTTAGTGGATTTGAACTGCCTGACTTTAGGTTGACAGCGCAACTCCTTACTCACAAGGCCACTAGAGCTCCTCCAAAAAGTAAGGGGGAAGATAAATTATAGTGGGGAACCCACTGACAAATTAAAAAAAAATTATAATTAATACTGTAAAATATTGAAATTGTTAAAACTTGGAGATAAATACTTAGGGATTTGTTTATACTATTCAATTTCTTTCAGCATTGTTTGAAATATTCTATAGTAAAAAAGAAAAAAGATTGAAACACAAAATAAGATCAGTTTGAGGATGAACATTTGTCTTTCCCCACTCCTACAATGAGACAGAAATCACTTAGTGAATGTGAAAATATATTCTTCAGTTCCTCTGAAGAAAACTAACCAAATTTTGGTATTTTGAGGAACTATGAGTACCCTTTTTAAAAGTGGACTATTTTTCAAAAAGATAACCAGAGCCAACTTCAAAATTACTCCCCAAGGGAGTTGTATAACTTCCTCATTAGGGCTGCCAGATAAAATTCAGGATGCCCAGTTAAATCTGAATTTCAGATAAATAGTGAATATGTTTTTAGAATAAGTCTGCCTCAAATATCACATGGGCATTCTTATCTAAAACCCAACTCACTTTTATCTGACATTTAAGTTTAACTGGATATCCTGTATTTTCCTTTGTTACATTTGGCAGCCCTGCTGTTGGGACATAAATAGGGGAGATTCTGTCCCTTACAGTGCCTTCCAGGCCTGGAGAAATGAGGAAAAGGGGTGGGCACAGGTTCCTAGGGGTATAAGAGGGAACCCAATAAATGATCAAAGAACCAGGGAGTGAGATTAGGAGCTAGTTGTGGTAGTAGCTGGTGGTTTGGATTTTCAAGTGATTCCAAGGCCTGAAAACCTGTGGTGGACACTCTGGAGTGGATCTCACGAGTTGGTAAGCATTGCCTTTAATTCTCTGGAAGCTTCTTGAGTTGTGCCTGGAGACTTGGATCTTGAGAGATGAGACCAGCAGTAGCAACCAGGCCTCCCCAGACAGCAGCAAGTTCTTCCTTGAATTGGTAGCTGAGTGTTTGAGGTTGGGCAAAGAGACAGAACTATTTGTGTACCAGGAAGAAGATCCGACACATTAGGTCTGGCATGTGGTCCTGCAGTCTTGCCAAAAAATGAGAAAAACTAAGCAAGAGTGAACACTCTTGCCAACATGGCCCATGGCCCTGGCCCCCATGCTGCTCCCTCAGAGGCTGGATGCTGGATTGGCAGCCAGCCCTCCACCTTGACCTTTCTGAGGAGGTCCCTGACGGCATCCAAGTGAAAATGGGCGATCCAGAACAAAATGCGTTTCAACCTGCTTCTGAGGGAAGTGCCAGAACTCTGGTTCTTTAAGGATAAGTAAATAGAAGAAAAACCATCACCAGCAACATGGGTCTTTGAAATAGAGCCTGTGGTGGTATGGAGAGAATGAAATATACAAGGAATAGAGAAAAACATATTTTGGAAATTTCTAGTATAATGGGGAATAAAATGGATGCCCATAGTGTGAGTAATAAAAAACATACTGAGTAACAAAAGCAAGCATAAAAAGCAAAAATCATAGGGGAAGAAAACAATAGAAGAACAACAAAACCTATTATCTTTTCTAATGAATAAAAACAGATTAAACTCTCCTATTAAGTAATAAACACCACATCAAGATTTTTAAAAGTATTATCATGTTTTTAAATTATACACTGGAAACATTACAACTCAGACTACTTTAAAAATATAAGTAGTTTAGGGGAGATATACTAGTTAAATGTAAACATGAGAGAAAATAGAAAATAAAGTAAAAATTCAAAAGCTACATACACACACATAAAGTATGCAAAAAAGGTATATATCTCAACAGAAAAACTCCCAAATGCTTACATAAACAATATTAAAGCTTTGAAATATGGAAGCAAAAAAAAAAATCCTTATGGCATGTATAAATTAAAATCTCACAGAAATAAAAGTACAAAAGAATAGAAATTTTAAATTACTGTGGTTTTAATGTATTTTTCTCCTTGCAGATCAAACCAGCAAAAATTTTAAAAAAGGTAAAAGATTTGAACAACAAGACGAATGCCTTTTAAGAAATGTACCCAACATCGTAGCTTTAAAATAGAAAATAAAAAACAATAAATGATAGAGAGCACACTTTTTCTAATGTTCAAATAACACTTGAAAAGTTAGATCGTATATTAATTTAATAAGTTACAAAAATCAGAAAATGTACAAAACAGATCAAAGTGCAATAAAATCAGAAATTCATAACAAAAGTTAAAACAACAACAGAAAAATTCAACCACTTAGAAATTTAAAAAGTATTTTATTGGGACGTCCAGTATGAATATGACTGCATAAGTCAGCATTTTTCCCCTTTTCTCCTGGAAACCATACCCACAAACTCCATTTTTCAGTAAGAATTGGAAACAAACAAAACCCACAGACTCCAAAATATATATAAGGGCTGCCCAAAGGCAACTGAGATTGGGTAGAAGCCACTCAGCAATAAATGAAGACAAGACACATGGAGAATTACAAAAAGACAGAGTGGTAGCAGATCTTAGAAAGCTGCAGCAGAAAGGTTTGGTTTTTTTTTTTTAAGGTAATAAAAAGTAAAAAAATTTATTGGAAAGTTCCATCCAAAAGATGAGATGGACCTTCCAGCTTGGAAAAGAAATGTAGAAGCAGCCTGAAGGATAATGATAAAATACTAATGATTATTTAATACTAATGATTATTTAAGACAAATGACGTTGCATGGTAATTTATTTCTTCTTCTTTTTTTTACTTGAAAATTTCCATAAGAGATAGGTTTCAAAAATCGTTGTAAGAGTCGATTTTGATGCATAGTGACCTTTTGTGACAGTGTAGGACATCCCAGTCAGGTTGTCTTGGTTACAGTCTTTAAGGAAGAAAAATCACCAGGTCTTCCTTTTGTGGAGCCACTGGGCGAGTTTGACTCACTTTTGGAAATATTGGTAACAGAAGTTTTTCAAAGCCTATTTAATTCAGAGAGAGCAAATGCAGAGCTACCCAGAAATCGCACAGATGAACTTGGTTATTCACAGGAAGCAGTCTGACTCTGTGGCAAAGTCAAAGAATATAGCTGGGCTAGGAAAATCTAACTCATTTACTGTCAATTAATAATGTAAAATATTCGTTAACCTCTAGAAAGTTTTCTGAAGCTATAAATCACACAGGGAGGGAATTGTTCATCTTTCTGTCATGGAGCAGCAAGTGGATTTGATCCATTTATCTTTGGGCTGGCAGTGCAACTCTTTGCCCACTACACTACCAGAGCTGCCCTGTAAAGTGTAGCACAGCAATAAGATAAATATACTATTATAAATTCGAGAGAAAACATACATCACAATTTACTAAAAGGAGGTGAAGAAGAAAACAAACAAAACCATAACAAAATATACCCCAAAATTAACCAAAAAAGTAAAATGGAAAAAGAAAGAAAAGAAAAATCCAATCTAGTAAGAAATAATTGTCACCAAGCAGAAATCATAATTCAGAGAATGGTGATGTGAAGGGAAATGAAATACAAGTTAAAAAGAGAGATCTCAGGAAAGAAGAAGTGTCAGAATTTTTTCAGAGAGAAGGATGACATTGGAAGGTGTATAGGCAGAATAGCCACATTGGAAAACACAGAAGGACGCTGGGAAAAAAGAAATTATAAAAGTGACCAAAATAGAAGTAATGAAAGGATCAAAATCTAGAAGACAGACAAAGGTGGTCCAGCATTTGAATTGGAATCTCAGAGAAAGACCACAAAAACAGTGGGAACAAAAAGAAAGCAAACTTAAGCTTGTGATATTTTCATTAACGAAAATTTCCTGAATTGAAAGAATACTAGAGTCAAGGTTTAGAAAAAGATACCTGTGTCAGGAAAATGAACCTGAGACATTACCTAGTGTAGCCATAAGACTTTGGAGACAATGTAAAAATTCACTGGGTAGTCATATCCCTTTACTGACAATGACATTAAGTAATTAGAAATAGAAAATAAAGCAAAGTGTCTTTGATTTCTCTAAAAGAACACTGAATTGCCAACGTCAGAAAAGTACCACATCTAAGATTATCAGAGACAGAAGGAAGGATCTCAAGATTTCATACTTGGATATGCTGTCACTTAAACATGAAGAACTCAACTCATTGTCAAGGATCAGAACTAACTCATAACTGGCCCTCCAGCAGGTTTTCAGAGGCTGTATATTGGAGGAGAGGAGAGTGCCCATCTTCCTCCTGAGGAGTAGCTGGTGGATTGACATTGTGCACCTTGAGCTTGGCAGCACAACCCACTAGAACATGAGAAATCCCAAGATGCAAATAGTTTTTTTTTTCAGGGTTCAGGGCTTTTATTCATAGGGTCACTGAGTCGTGCTTGACTCAGTGGCACTTAACAACATATAGCATGATGGAATAAATGACCTTTATTAACTTTTGTAAATGCTACAACACACAAACAAACAGACAAGGAGTCTGAGTCCATGATTGTTAGGTTTAATTCACCTGTTATACCCAGTCTCTTTCCTAAAGGTAACAAAAAGGTTCTATCAAAATTACAGAGATGTGAGGCTAGGCATGTCATACAGCTTTAGAAAAATGTTAGCACCTAATGCACGTAAGGCTTAAGAAAAGTACAGACTAGTAGGTTTTCAGCACAGTGGGAACAGGATGCTGAGTCTCAAAATCTTTCAAGTACAGGCAATCTCTATCACAAAGATCATCTTCCAGACACACACACACAAAAGCCCAGAAGGCGCAGTTTCCTTGGGGACAGACAACTTAGGCACCTCACACTCCCATCCACAGCCTGGGGTAGTAATGGGCAGAAAAGGAAGATGGGAAGTTGTGTCTAATACTGTCCCCAAGGAAATTCATGCAAATAGTTTTGTGTGTGAAGGAATTCAAAGAATATTGTTCCTGAGAGCTCTTCCTGAGGGACTTACAAACTCTTACTGCCATGGGGATGGAACTGACTCCTAGCTGACTCTCCATCCAATTTCCAAGGCTGTCGGTCTAACTGGAGGAGATTGCCTTTATTTCTCCCTGGGAGCCCTGGTAGATTCGAATTGCTAAGAAGGCGTGGCTCTTGGTTTAGCAGTGGAACTCTGACTAAGGGAAGCTTTGTTGCTGAGTACCATAGAGTTGGAACTGACCCATAGATCACCCTCCAGTAGGTTTCAGAGTCAGTTAATTGCACAGAAAGAGATTGTCCATCCTTCTCCCATGGAGCAACTCAAACCATGTGCCTTCAGGATTGCAGTGCTGCTTCTTAACACAGAGCTAGTAGGAGATCACTTTCAACCAACTAAGCTTTTAGTAGGAAATACACATATACACAAATACACATATACAGACTTGTCATGAGCATATTTTACCTCAAACTCAAAATGAAAACAAATGTAAAGGGTTAAGTGACAGGACAGACATTTACTGTCACATCTATTATAAATATAGAAATGATAACAGTAAAAACTAGATAATATTTAAAATATAGGTTATATATATTACCACCTTATAGAGAATGAACAGGCTTGATAGTTATTATTTAAAACTGGCAAGCCAAAGACTAGAAATGGAAGTAAATTTAATAGTACAGTTGTAGTTTGTAAGAAAAACAATATTGACTAAAGTTGGGTCGTAAGAAGGGAGCGTAGAGGAGAGAAAAGTGGATTATTTTATCTTTGTTATAGCAGGCTACAGAGAGCTCTGGTGACATAGTCGAGATTTCTCAAGAATATCCACAAGTGCTTCTGCCTCATAGAGGATCTGTAGTTTATTGGTGATAGATTATTTAAGGGTTCTATTACTCAATCCAGGTTAAGCTGTTGAATGAAACATTAGAGACAACATTTCTCTCAAACTGGGAAAAGATTCACCATTATCACGCTCATCATGTTATGTAATATTCTATATTTCTAACCACCTCAATCACTCAACAAAACGCATTAGGGCATTTGGTTTAGAAATAAGGAGATACTGGGCTTTCTACGAAGATGGCGCCAAAACTGAAGAAGGAAGCCCATGCCCCTCCCAAAACTGAAGCCAAAGCAAAGGCATTAAAGGCCAAGAAGGCGTCCTGAAGGGCGTCCACAACCAAAAAAAAAAAAAGAAGATCTGCACGTCACCCACCTTCCGGCGGCCTAAGACGCTGAGACTCTGAAGGCAGCCCAGATACCCCCGGAAGAGCACCCCGAGGAGAAACAAGCTTGACCACTATGCCATCATCAGATTTCCCCTGACCACTGAGTCAGCCATGAAGAAGATAGAAGATAACAACACACTTGTGTTCATTGTGGATGTCAAGGCCAACAAACACCAGATCAAACAAGCTGTAAAGAAGCTCTATGACATGATGTGTCCAAGGTCAACACTTTGATTAGGCCTGATGGAGAGAAGAAGGCCTATGTTCCACTTGCTCCTGATTATGATGCTTTGGATGTTGCCAACAAAATTGGGATCATCTAAACTGAGTCCAGGTGGCTAATTCGAAATATAAATTTTTCTCAACCCCCCCGAAAAAGAAATAAGGAGATATTGGGATGTGCAGCTGACCTGGAAAAAGCAAGAGAATTGACTGAGACACTAATGGGACCATCAGGAGAGACTAGTAAGAAGACAATAGCTATTTGGAAAAATACAGTGGAAGAAGTTTCACATTTACAACACAAAGAAAAAAAATTAATGAGGATTAAACTCAATTAGAAATATATAGACTTTACCCGCTGCTCATGTCAGTCCAAAGACTGAGGTGCACCTAACTCAGGCCGTGGTCTTTTCAATCACTTGCTGTGCATCTGAGAGCTGGACAGTGACTAAGGATGACAGAAGAAAAATTGATGCCTTTGAATTGTGGTGGTGGAGAAAAGCATGGAATATACCCTGAACTGCCAAAAGAACATGCAGCTATGTACTGGAGAAAGATCCCTGGGATATTTGATTAACCAGAAAGCCGTATTCTTCAGTGTACTAAAGAATCTCTCCCCTCTTAACACCTTTCTTTTGATTTTAATTTTTCTTTCTCTTTTACTTCTGTTACTTGCATCCATTTCATCTCTGCCTTTATTTTTCCCTTTTCTACCTCTTTTCCTTCTCTTCTTGTCTCTAACCTGGCTTTCTCTTTGCCTCTGTTTAATTATCTTTTTTTCGTTTCATTATTCTGTTGGCTCTTGTCTCTCCTCTGTCCCTCTCATTTCACTTTCTTCCTGTTACACCCCCACCCCCCTTTCCCTGTTTTTGTTCTCTGTCCTCCCTTCTGCTCCTTTCTCTCGTCCCCTCTCACCACGTGCAGGTCTACGACACAGAGCTGGAGAAGGTGGAAGCCTTTGAGGGCCTGTCTGATTTTTGCAACACCTTCAAACTTTACCGTGGCAAGACCCAGGAGGGGATGGAAGATCCGTCTGTCATCGGGGAATTTAAGGTAAATCCTTGAAGGCATGGCCATATCCACAGTGGCTTAGGACTGGGGAGTGGTGATACCAAGTGGAGGAAGAAGTAGCATGGGCTCCTGGTAGTGTTATGTGATGACCTGGTACTGATGTTGGAGATGGAGGTGGGGATGTGGATACTGCTGCTGCAGAATCTGATGGTGTTGGTAGGATGGCGTTGGCATTGGCCTTCAGTCTCTTTGGTAATGACTCTGATAGAGATAAGAGTCATGGTCATAATGGTAGTTGTGTTGGTAAAAATGAAAATCAACCCCTAATTCTTTTCAGGGCCTCTTCAAAATTTACCCCCTCCCAGAAGACCCAGCTGTCCCCATGCCCCCGAGACAATTCCATCAGCTGGCTGCTCAGGGGCCCCAGGAGTGCCTGGTCCGCATCTACATTGTTCGAGCATTTGGCCTGCAGCCCAAGGACCCCAATGGGAAGGTAACATTCTTGGAGACCTCACCTTCCCCAAATATAGCAGACTTGAGTGCAAATGGACTGACTTTACCCAAAGGAGCTGGGAACCCAGACAAACACCTATGAAGCGGATGAAACCAGTTAGAATCCTTTAAAGGGTGCTTCAGAAGGTCAGAGAAAGCCTAAGTCAGTATGTTGTTATGTACCATGAAGTTGGAACTGACTCATAGCTGACCTTCCAACAGGTTTTGCAAGTCAGCATAGGACTTTGCAATAACGGAGAAGAAAGAGAACTCTCTGAGATGGAATGAATTTCAGATAGATTGAGACGAAGGGATTAATGGCATTGAAGATGTGGGTTGGGACCAGGCCCTGCAGGACTTTGAGTGATGGAGTGGGAAGGAGGGAGGAGCATGACCGGTGGCCTCCTGTCCAGCTGTGGCAGAAGCTGAGCGACAGGGAGAGGCACAACTAAGCCGGCCATCATTGAAGACACTGATGCTCTGGTTGCCAGTCATTGTTAGTGCTTATTTTAGTTTTAAAATATTGCATTGAATTGAAATGTGCTCTATCAGGATTGCTGAGGTTTCTCACAACTCTTTAAATAAATTTTGTGCCTATGGCTAATGCCTCAGCCGCTGCCACTGTCGTCCAGGCCCTGGGTGGAGGAGGGGAGTTTGAAGGAAGGGGAGTGTGGAGTTGTGGGAGGTGAGGTGGGAGGTCAAGAGATGGAAGGAGAGAGGAAAGGTGAGAGGCAGCAGGAGAAGACCACCGCTGTTTAGAGAGATGAGGGTAGAATTCTCTCCCTTCTCTTCAGGGAAGCTTAGCTTGTACCTTTATCAGATCCTAGAGACTTGACTTTCAAGGCTAAGAAGTTAGGACCCCACCTGGTTGAGGCATTTCACAGGACATAATGGAGCTGTTCTCAACCATGGCACCACTGGTGGCCGACAAGATGCGGTGAACCACCTCAGTGCCTCCCACCCCAGGACCCTCGACATTCCGAACTGCTCCTCAAGGCCAGTTGAGGGGTCTTTTTGCAACCTGGGACAGGATCAGTTGACACCATCTGGCCATCTCTTTCTCCCTTCATCTGTTTAAGTGGCCATCACAGATAGGACCCTAGCGCTGGCCCTCGTCAGATATAGAAGTCACGGTTCTAAGGTTCTAGATCCAACCCCACCTACCTTCTAAAAAGTAACGAATGGATGGGCAGTGTGGTGGATTCAGGGATCCTCGACTGTGTGGAGCGCAGTCAGGGCCCTGACCTCGCAAAGCAGAGCTGCTCGGGCAGTCCCCCTGTCTCCTTCAGGAGGCTGAAGTCAGCCAGCTCCAAAGGCAGCTTGGAAATATGATTTCACCTGTGTGTCTCTGTCTCCTCCTTCTCCAGTGTGATCCGTATATCAAGATCTCCATGGGGAAGAAATCCGTGAGTGACCAGGAGCACTACATCCCCTGTACCCTGGAGCCAGTATTTGGAAAGTAAGAGGGTGCAGCCTAGACCTTGAGGTGGGGGGAGCCCCATCACCCACAGCGGGGGAAATGAAGTCCCACCTCCAGCTACAATGCTGTGTTCCCTGAATCTGCCTGCGTTCCTTCAGCCTCAGCTTCTAACCGGTGAGGGCGTGAGTCCTGCAGGGACCCCACACCTACACACATTCCCGGTCACACGTGTGAACAGTTCCAGCAACTGTCTACATACAACAGGCTTTCCTCATTTTGGGGGGTTTTTGTTTGTTTGTTGCTACTGAAGGTGAAATTTTTCTTTGGAACAAAATGACTGATTTTTTTTTTTTTTGCAAAAAAGTTACAAAAGGAGAAGAGAGAATTCCTTTCTGCCCCCGCTCAGTTTCCCCCTTCTAATGTCTTCCATGTCATCAGGGCCATTCCTTAGAATGAAGAACTCTCCACTGACACATTAGTATAACCACGGGGCTTCCTTAGACTTGGGTTAGTCTTCCACCAGGGCCCCTTTACTGTTCCAGCATCCAGTCCAGGTATTCACAATTTACATGGTATTTCCAATTACATATTCTCTTTCTTGTCCCATGTTGGTGTGTAGTGACACCTAGAAGAAGAATGGGGGCTCAAGGGATTAACACCATTCTTGAAATCTAAAACTGAGGAGAGAAGGAACTGATGCTCATCGTCTGGGGACAGTTTTCAGGCGCCCAGGCTCACAGCTCGGACCTGAGCTCACTTAGAAGTGTGGTAGATGGAGCCCGTGGCTGGGCAGAGGGGGCCATGACAGCAGGATCTGTGGACGTTGAAAGATGTTCAGTACAGTCAGTGACAATCATATTCCTCAGCTAGTGTCTGTTGAATTAGTTGCTGTCACTTAGTCTACAGCAAGGACATAGTCAAGGAAAAGGTGATTTTGAAGGTGACATCATCCCGGCCAGTGAGGGGCCTCCTCTGGGTGTGGGTGGAAGGAGAGGCAGGAAGCAGGAGGGAGGTGGGCGAGGAGAACTCTGACGGTTAAGCTCGCGGCCTCCAGGGTGGGCAACAGGCCAAAGGGGATGGGACAGGGGGCCAGGACGCAGGCCCATGTGAGGAGCGAGTGCAGAGGACACCCATCTCCTCTCCCCTCCCATGTCCTCCCTCAAGTCAAGGAGATCTCAATTCCAGGCCTCGTTCAGAGCAGGACAGGAACACTTCTGTCTGCAGCCTGTGCATTGAACAAGCACAGCTCACGGGACATAATGAGGACAGGCTGCTCTTAGGTGCTGCTCCCTAAACGTTTGTTCTGGGGGTCACTGCCCCTTCCCTGAGGGGAGCTGTGGCAGAGAGAGTGTTTCTGCTAACTACTGGGCACAGACCTGCATCTCAGCCCAGCCATCAGGATAATAAAGGGATCCCTGGATGGCACGGGAGACCCAAGGACAGTGGGCACTGTGGACTCCAGGCCACTCTCAGGTGGGCCACTCGAAGTCCTTGCAATGTCACCATCAGGCGTCCTGACAGTGGTCCCGTCCCTCCCGCAGAATGTTCGAGCTGACCTGCACGCTTCCTCTGGAGAAGGACCTCAAGATTATGCTGTACGACTACGACCTCCTGTCCAAGGACGAGAAGATTGGGGAGACCGTCATTGACCTGGAGAACAGGCTGCTGTCCAAGTTTGGGGCTCGCTGCGGGCTCCCACAGTCCTACTGCACGTAAGTGCCGCGGGGCCACCCTCTCTAACGCACTGTTCATTGAGCACTTGGTGTGCGCTGGCCCTGTGCTCAGAGCCGCTCAGCCTCTGCCATTTAACTCGGAGCTGGTATTCTTCCTGCTCCAACAACAGGGACGCTGAGACTTGTAAGTGAATGGACGAGGACTAGGATTCAGATTGGCTTGACTCTAAAGCTGCAGTTTGGAGGCAGGGTTCAAATCGGCTGTTCATCGTGTCCCTAAGAGCTGAGCCTGGCACTTGATCATGTTATGATGCCATTCTTTTTTTTTTAGCTTAACAAATAAAGGCTTATGTGATGAAAAGCCCAGGGCGAGTTGGTGGCTTCGTGGATAAGGAGTTGTACATCTAACCCTAAGGCAGGCTGTTTGAACCCACAGCTGGGAGCTGGGTCTCTCCCTCAGGAGAGAGTTGTCAGTCTGCGCCTGTGCACTTGCCGCCTCTGAAATCCCACTAGAGTGTCAGCTCTGCATTGGTTCCCACTCAGCTGGTATAAAGCCATTCTTCATGCACCACCATAGCCTGGGTGGGTGGGTGTCTAGAAAGAGAGTGAGGGGGCGCTGTGACATCCAGACCCTGCCTGGGCCTGAAGGAAAAGTGCCAGATAGTCTGTCCGGGGAGCCCATAAGTGAACGGTCCCTGTACCCTCAACTCGAGTCTGCTTCTCCAAATCGGAAAATGAGAAACACCTAAAGAGGCCTGTGGCACAGCGGGCTAAGCATTGAGCCGCTAACACAAAGGTTGGCAGTGTGAATCCAGCAGATGTAAAAGAAAGATGTGCTTCCATAAGGATTTGCAGCCTTGGAAAGCCCGGGAGATGGTTCTCCTCTGTCTTAACAGGGTTGTAGTGCATCGGAATCGACTAGACAGCAGTGCCTTTAAAGTCCTGATTCTGAGTGGATTTGATCAAGTCCTTTTTTCCTCCAAGGCTCGGTTTCCTCATCTATGCAGTGAGGTCCCAGCCATGATGAGCAGTGGGATGAGGCGCTTGGTCAAGCGAAGGGTGTGCAGGTGCAGATGCCCCCCTGCCCTCGGCGGCATCTGACTGTGTTTTGTGCTCGGCTCTCAGCTCCGGACCGAACCAGTGGCGAGACCAGCTCCGGCCCTCTCAGCTCCTGCACCTCTTCTGTCAGCAGCACAGACTCAAGCTGCCTGTGTACCAAGCAGACCGGGTGCTGTTTCAGGATAAAGACTACAGCATCGACGACATCGGTGAGCCTCGGTGGACTCCTCCTGGCCCTTCAGTCTCATCAGACCCTCTCCAGTCAGAAAGCACACCCCTCGCTCCCAGCTCTGACCACATCTGCAGGGTGTGGCTGGACCCTCTAGGGTGGCACAGGCCAGCCGAATTCACCCTTAGTAGTTCTGAAATACCATTTGGAGGTGCCATTGTGAAGATCTGGGGTCAAGGCAGGGGCTAAGGTCAAGATCCCAGTGCGGACCTGAGATCCAAGGCTCGAGTGTGGCCAGGGTCAGAGCTAGTTCAGAGCTACTGTGGGAGTAAGCAGGGGTCAGCCGGAAGCCAGGGTCAGAGCCAGGGTTCACATAAGCCTGCCTCTGGCTTTGGGTTGGTGTTTCAAACTTTGATTGGAGTTTGGGGTACAGCTTTCTATTTGCCTCTGCTGGGACTTTCTGAGCCCCACAGCACCCCGAAAACACTCCTAGTCACCAGGAGACCTTGTAGCTCCTCCCACCTGTGTCCCTTCTTGGAATGGGTGGCGTTTGGTGGAAAGGTGGTTGTGGCTCTCAGGTGTGGTAGGAATGATTGCAGTGAGGGGCCTGCGCTTAGAGCCCGTGGTGAGCGATGTTTCCCTGTAGAAATCTGAAGCGCATCTGGGTAGCGAGGGGCTCTAGGGCTTGGGGCCTCCTGCAGCCACAGGTGACCCTCCCATCACTACTCACCCAGCTTCTGCCACTTTCCCATTTTCTCTCTGGAACAGAGGCCTCCCAGGTCCCCAACCCACACCTGGGCCCTGTGGAGGAGCGCTTGGCTCTGCACATCCTTCAGCAGCAGGGTCTGGTCCCCGAGCATGTGGAGTCGCGGCCCCTCTATAGCCCCCTGCAGCCAGACATCGAGCAGGTAGGACCCAGGCCTGGGGCACCCTGAGCCCCAGCTGCCAAGATGGTCACCACAGAGCAGCAGGGACCACAGGGTTTGGCTAATCCCTCTGAGATGCTGGATTCTCCAGTCTGAGTGGCCACTGCTCTTAATGACAAGGGGATCTCGGGACTTGGCCCTTGGGGTCTGGGGAGTGAGTCCCAGCCAGCCACCTCCTCTGACTGCCCCCCATTCCAAGGTGTCCATGGTGTGCCTTCCCATCCCTCAGTGCCCATTGATGTCTCTGAGGTCCATCTGGGAAGATAGGTCCTTACAGGCTAAACAGCACCCCCACATCAATGGGCAGGCCCGCCCAGAGAGTGATGGGTACTCAGAGGGCCCAAGGGTGTCCTCTTACGCAGACAGGAGGGTATGCAGAGGCTCTCTGCACCTTAGCGGGGTGACCAGGAATTTTTCCTGGAAGAGGTGAACGTGGAGCAGGTGAACGTGCAGAGGTCCTTCCTGTGGCCTGGGTCTCTCCTGCCTGAGGTGGCCCAGCTGCCAGCCTTCTCAGGGAGCACCACCAAGGTGGTGAGGCTACTGTCCTGCACCATGTGGTGCTGGGACCCTACAGACACAGTGTAGCCAAGAGGCTGCTCTCCTCTCTTCAAGGGCTGACCTGCAGGGTGAGGTGTGGAGTGGAGGAGAGGCAGGCACGTAGAGTGTCAGCCATCCATGCCCTCTCCTCCCGGGGGGCTCTGTGCCCGCACTGCCCACACCTCAGATGTCCTCCGCCCTGTTGCATCTGGCAGATGGAGCCTGTGCTCAAGCATTGCCATCTCCAAAAAGACCCTCCTGCCTTGAGCCCAAGCACAGGCCCAGGCCGGTGGCCTGTGGGCAACAGGCAGCCCTGACATCCTCTGTTTGAGACCCTCCGTAGAGGATGGTGGGCCTCTTCACTCAGAGCCTGTCACCCCCTGTCCTGTTCACTGCATGCTGGGCCCAGAGCAGGTGTTTGGTTAACACTAGTTGGAAGCAAAAGCGGTGAGGAGAGCAGGGGTTCCCTGTCTCCCCAGGGGAAGCTGCAGATGTGGATCGACCTGTTTCCGAAGGCCCTGGGGCAGCCGGGCCCTCCCTTCAACATCACTCCCCGGAGGGCCAGAAGGTGACTGACTGACTGACTCCGTCCTGGGCTCCGGGCTGGGCTCCGGGCTGAGCGGGGGTGGGGTTGCGGGGTGGCAGTCACAGCCCATGGGTGGACACAGCTCTCGTGTGGGCCCGGCCTCGAGTCTAGGCTCGTGTCTTCTGGGGCTGCGGCTGCTTCTGTGGATCTGTACCATCCTCCTCCTCCCCAGGTTCTTCCTGCGCTGTGTTATCTGGAACACCAAAGACGTGATCCTTGACGACCTCAGCATCACCGGGGAGAAGATGAGCGACATCTATGTGAAGGGGTAGGAGCCAGCCCTGCCCGGGGTTCTGTGTTTCGGTCCACGGCATGTCCCCTGGCTCCTAGGACTGGTTCTCCGTGTGGGGGATCTGGGGTTGGGAAGGCCGCCGAAGACGGGCAGGCAGGTCTCCTGCTGGAGGCCTGTGTCTCTGGTGGGTGGGGGTCGTGGGGGTGGTAGTGTTTTTCCCCAGACATCTTCTGCCACACTTCTCTTTAGGTAGATTTTGCCAGGTTTGAGGATGCCCTCAGCAATGCCTGAGACGTTGGCATGCTTTTAGATTGATAGTCCCTTCAGTGTATCATGGAGACATCTGGGAAATGATTTTTGCTCAGTCATTTTCCGGGTTCCCAGAACTTCTCAATACCTCTGTGGGCCCGAGCTGAGGATACCATGTTGTGACAGGAACCAAAGTTAGACGCCTTTTCCAAAAATGTGTCTGTGCAGGTGGATGATCGGCTTTGAAGAACTCAAGCAGAAGACAGACGTGCACTATCGGTCTCTGGGCGGCGAAGGGAACTTTAACTGGAGGTTTGTTTTCCCCTTCGACTACCTGCCAGCGGAGCAAGTCTGCGCCGTGTCCAAGAAGGTGAGCGCGGTCTCTGTGCCGGCTGGTTCCAGTCCCAGGCTTTCCAAGGCCAGGACGGTAGCATCACCATAGTCATGGCCCACACTGCCCCACACCCCAGCACCACCGTGCACCCCAGCACCACCGTGCACCCCAGCACCACCGTGCACCCCAGCACCACCGTGCACCCCAGCACCACCGTGCACTCCAGCACCACCGTGCACCCCAGCACCACCGTGCACCCCAGCACCGCCGTGCACCCCAGTACCACCATGCACCCCAGTACCACCATGCACCCCAGCACCGCCATACAGCCCAGCACTGCCCCACACCCCAGCACCACTGTGCACCCCAGCACCACCGTGCACCCCAGCACCACCATACACCCCAGCACTGCCATGCACCCCAGCACTGCCATACAGCCCAGCACTGCCCCACACCCCAGCACCACCATGCACCCCAGCACTGCCACACAGCC